AAATATATTTCACTGTGTTTGTATAGTATTAAATTATTGTAAACGTATCTAAAATATATATTTAGTTGGAATTTTGGCTAAAAATTAACTTTTTCTTGTTATGATAAGGGTTTGGTAAGTTTTCTAAGATCCTTTTTGGTGCAAAATTATAAATTTTACATTATCATTAATGAAAAAATATATCTTTAAAAGTATAGAGAAAATTTTTTGGGAAAGGACTTAATTTAAAACGAGTTCTTGCTAACTGACCAGTTTTACATATTCGGCACGACATATATATATATATATATATATATTTTATATATATTATATTATTTATATATTTTTATATATATATTTTATATGTATATATTATACACACACATGACGACACCACTGAAGAAGACGAGTTGCGATGTCTACCCCGCCCCATGAACTAGCACATTGCTCATGGGGGTTAACGACCCTAGCCCTCTCTCCTTTGCTACCAAATATTAATTGGAAGCTTTTTTCTTTCTGGGGCTTTGTGTAAATGAGGTGGGGGTGAGATAATGGGTTGAGTAAATGAGGTGTGAGGTAATAATGGCTGAGTAAAGGTGTGAGTGAGGTAATAATGGTTAAGTAAATGAGGTGTGATATTTTAGTTTCCAGTGACTAGCACTTCTGTCTCTTACATACCCTTTCCACTAGTTTATAACTCTGTAACCTGCTTTTATTTTCATTTCGGCACAGCTGTTTTTGTCCTAGTTTTAAATTTTGACCTCTTGTTTCTCTTGATGGTGCTGTGTTTCGTCTCACATTTCAAATCAGAACAAGAAAGTAGTTTGAAGTGAATCTATGGAAAGTAACTTGAAATGAATCTCAAAACAGGAGTTTGAATTGAATTACATCTCAGTGAGACCCGCATGAGAGTCTTTGGCGTTGCTAGGCTCTTGCGATAACCATCTTGCTGACTTCTCTTCCTCTTCTCTGCCATTCATGATGAGTATCTCTCCTGTGTATGTAAGTGTGATTTAAGACTCATTTTTGTGTGTGCTTACGATGGTTCTTCCACACTACATATAAACCATTTTGATATGGAGGGTATCTTATTACTCTTATGCCATAAATTATGAGCAAGTATTGTTAATTATCTTATAACAGACAATGTATAATTATGCAAATGACAAAATTGTCAAGTGTGCTCCTGTACACTATTTGAGGACCTAGTTCCTAAGTCTCGATGTTTCCTTACGTTCTCGTGGTACCGTTCACCACGAAAGATATGTAGTGCACAGTGAAATTAAATAAACTTAGAAGTAATATAAAAAAATAACAAAATAGGCAAGTATAGAGTTGAAGTCCGTCAACTTTGAGCTTAGCGATAGGCATTTATGCAAATTCTGCAATATTAAGTGGGTTGTGCAGTGGAAAAAAGCAACCGGGGTAACCGTGGTAAAAAAAAAAAGTAAACCAGCTTAACCAAATCTAACATAACTATGAGTTATATTTTAGATTAAAGTAGACTGAGCTCTTTTAACCTTAAAACTTTTTAATAGGTCCAAAATATAAATGTTTCCTTTGCACATCCCGCTTAATCTAGGTGAATTTACATACTAAAAGTCACAAGGACATCATCTCTATATCCCCCCCCCCTACAAAATAAGTCATTCATTTCCCGACTGACAATGGGGAAATTGGTAACGAAGGAGAAATTCGACTTGATATGAAATTCGTCTTGTTATCCACTGATTTGATCCGAGTACTCAGTATTGGAATGTAATCAGTCAGGTTCTTTGTTCCTTCGTGCAAATTCTACTTGACAAACAAAATTCCAACATCACTGGTTATATATACATACTTACCAGTGACTATGTATTTATTGTTTATTTTTTATCTGTTTTATGTATATAAATATTCTGAAAGTTAGTGTACAAGTACATTTTTAATGGTCAGTAGATGCAGTTTTAATGGCTTTCAATCTTCATAACCAACTCTGTCCGTCTCATAGTCCAGTTACAGGTTTGGTAAGGTCATTGCTACGCTGGGGACGAGTTACACACCTAAGTTGTACACGCTAGTCCAGCCTTTCCCTAGCCCAGCCACCCTCCGGTACCTTCCTCACCTGGTACCAGGAACCCACTTTTCCAGTTCCTCAGAGCCTGTATTCATGACTTGGTTCGCTGGGAGAGCACATGGAAAAGTCATGTAACTGAAGGTCTTGTGGTCTTTATCGATGTTAAAGAACGAGAAAGAATAAATTACTGTTCAGCTGTCACTCAGTCGAGGATATAATAACCTCTCTCTCTGGCCACACTGCCAACGTAGTTACCCCTGTATTTGACCTTGCATTTACCACTATATTTGACCCTGTGTTTACCCCTGTATTTGACCTTGTATTTGACCTTGTATTTGACCCTGTATTTGACCCTGTATTTGACCTTGTATTTGACCTTGTATTTGACCTTGTATTTGACCCTGTGTTTACCCCTGTATTTGACCTTGTATTTGACCCTGTATTTGACCCTGTATTTGACCCTGTGTTTACCCCTGTATTTGACGCAGTATTTGAACGTAACAAAAGAATGACAAATTGTACTAGCATGCCATACTTGAAGTACGTAGATCAATATTTAATAGGCGATGAGAAAGCAGAGCTCAGCATCGTTTTGGTTGCTCTCTGAAATCTCTCTACAATACTACAAATTTAATAAAAACATGAGAATGAAGGAACACCGCAGTAGGGCTCTTGAACCATGCTTGTCTCCCGTAATGTTCAGATCGTTACAACGAATTTCGACATAGGGAATCATAGGTGTTACAGCTTTGGTATCCTAGCCACACAGAAAACAGTGTTAACATACCAGAGTGGCGGGTTCTAGTAAAAATATATCCGGTTAGGATAATTTCTTACAAATGACTGTTAGCAGTGTTTGTTAACTGTAGGTAGAATGTCTAACAGTAAACAGGACAAGTGTTTCCTGACGCGGGTTTTAGTTATATGATGACCCGCAGCTGGAATTTTTGGCCATCTGACCGAGGCCTTCCGCTGGCTTACCCGTCTACCCGTTTAAAAATTATAGCCATGATTATAACCGCTTTTGTTAACAGTCTCTTAATCCAAGGGACTGGAGCAGCCCTCCCATTCCAAGAATCGAACCTGATTGAATTCCGTTCTTCAGGCGCTGTATGGCCCATGTACTCAACGCCACTACTTGAGCATAACAATAATAATAATGATAATAACAGTTGCTTGATCCACCATCTAGCAGAGGACAAACCTGTACATACCTTTAACTGACATGTGTCAGTAATAATAATAATAGTGTAATCTGCCATACAACAGGGGACAAATCTGTGAACACATTACACAAATAATCCGCACATAGAAAGAAGCCTACGACAGGGTCTCAGTCCGACCTGTGTGCCTTTGTAAATGGTTCAAGTCGGACCGAAACATCGTGGTACGCTTCTCTCTCCTACGTGCAGGTTATTTGTGTTTTGTTCCAGTGATATTGTGCCTTTTTTTTCCCTCTGTGAACACATCTGTCATGTGTCCCTCCCCTGGGATGAAACACTGTAACATCCTCATCACTCCCTTTATACCCTGGAGTGCAAGTACTTTGTGTGTATATCAGCGTATATAGTATGCTGAGAGTTTGCTTTAATACTTATTTTAGAGGTTAAAGTATGCTTGACTGGTGTTGAACGGGTTAATATGCACCCTTAATAACTCGTGTAGTCGACAGGCTTTAAGTTTCACCCCAAAGAGCCTTTGGAACAATAAGAATATTACTTTATATTATTAATAGCCATATGTTGCTTGCTCAGTCTACCCGCCTAATACAGTTATTATTATTTTCATTATTTACAAGTGTACATGCACTGCTGCTTTCAGTACATGTACATCAATATCAAGATTGATATTAGATCATATGCAGTCACAAATAATAGTAATAATAATTCTGCAAGTCTTTGAGCTTCCACTTATAAATCAAGGACGTGGACTATCTATTGCTGTTTTAAAAGTAGGTTGTATCTCTTAGCTTGGTCACCCTAGTATGTGTACATGAGACAGTGATGAATGGTTTGGAAAACCGACATTCTACAAGATTGATGGACTGAACACATCGACTCCAGGCTGAGGGACTGATTACCTCACACTCCTCCTCTCCTTACGCCTTCCTCTTTGTATTGGACTGATGAAGCCACTGTGTGGCGAAACGTTTCCTGAATAAAGATTCCCATATGCTGCATAAGTGTCTCAATCTTCAACATGAGACAGTCTCTGGGTTGGAAGACCTTACTGTATGTCATTTATGTATATTGTGAACAACAAAGGGCCCAACACTGACTCCTGTGGAACACCGCTTGTGGTATAAACCTTATTTTGAAAGTCAGTGATGATTGCTCAGTGTAAAATTTAAAAAAAAAAAAACTTATTTATTACGATTTCATGATTTTAATGTTTTCTTAGCTATAGGCTGACTAATAATGGTAATTATAATGTGTATGTTAGTGCATAATTATTCTTATATTTATATTTTGTGTAATTTCTATTACTATAATAACACAGTAGGATGAATATACAGGATTTAGCTGATCTAAAATCAGTGATTATTATTTTATCTATTTCATTGCTCTTGTTACTCTACTACTGATGCTCTTAATACTACTATTGCTATACTATTGCTGCTGCTACTAGTATTACTATTACTACTACTGTTATTATTACTACTATTATTACTGTTACTAGTACTACTATTACGAATCTAAACAGAGCTTTACAAAGTTATATTAGATGTCTGTTTTATCGTTATATTAATAGTATACAGTACCGACAAGTAGCTGAGCAAGACGTATGCAACAGCTGAGCACTATGTATATTGTCGAAACGTTTCAGATGTCATCTTCAAAGCTTTGAGAACGAAACGTTTAAAAACAGGATTGCTCTGCACTTTGTACCTTTCTACCGTACTACTACTACTACTACTATAGCTGCTACAACCTGTACTAAATGTTCTCCCACTACGTTCCTCCAGGCCCCGTTCGTCTCCAACGACCTCCTAGAGTGAAGTCATTGACCTTGGCAACCCGTCAGAGCTTACTAGGCTTACCAGGAAAAATGTGACACCTAGTTCACACATCACTACCGGTCACCCACACCGTTTATTTACTGTATATTTCACCACTCCATTATCATCCACACATATTTACACTTTTCCACCTCATCACCCACACGTATTTATTTTTCTACATCTCGTGTCATTTACGGCTGCACACACACACACACACACACACACACACACACACACACACACACACACACACACACACACACACACACACACACACACACACACACACACACTAAACACACCCCAGACCTCTACACCCACACTCACCTCTGGTGAACACGTACTTGGCGAGTGAAGCAGTTGATCGTGTTGATGATGCACCTCGAGATACAAGGACAAGAGAAACACTAAACTCACAGCAACACCTCAATAAAGACACAAGCAACAACAAGCTTTTTGCACTGAAGGTCTGCCACTTTTTATTTACCACGATGCTCTAGTTAGACAAGACTATTATTAGTAGTAATGTTTATGGAGAAGCTCTAATTCCGTAGGGGAGGTCTGTGAAGATCATCCCTAGTGACCTCCCATTCCCTGGGTATTAAATGATCCCTGTGGGTTTAGCGTTTCCCCATGACTGTAATAATAATAATATTTGTGGAATTATCTTTAATTTGCGGATGCCTAATTACAAACACTACAATTGATCTCATTAAGTTTGGTGATGAATAATTTATTTTTTGTAAGACGCAGAGTTGAAATTCAAGCAATTAATGTGATAATCTTATTTGAGAGAATAATTTTTATTTGAGATTATAATTTTTGTTTGAGAGTAAGTTATCGATATGTCAGTTAGGTAAATTGATATATAGGCAACGTTTTTTAATATTTTTTTTCTCAGGCTACCTTTCTCTCTGCAGGAACGTTATAACGAAGCCTAGCCCCCCCCCCAAAAAAAAAAAAAAAATATTAGAATGTTGAGAACGTATTATTGTAAGAGTCTTAAGTCTCATTGCAAGGAGAGTATTAAGACTTTAAGAATCTTACAATAACACGACATTAAGGTTTAATGGAATACTAAGACTTGAAGAGAGGAATATCTGGGTCCTTGTGAATGCTCTTCTAGGGATGCACAACCCTTCATGGTACCTCAGATCTTTGTTATGTGTACACTGAACTAAAATAATTCTTATTTGACTTCAAGGTTTTGTTTTTTTTATTTGTGTGTGGTTCAAACTCCGCTTTCAAGGTTGTTCCTGACGTTTCCCGGCACACAGTCACCTCTTATGAATTGACTGTGTGCCCAGGGGTGGTAAACGAGATGGAAAAAAAGGGTGAATCCACAGTGAAAAAAAGGGTGAATCCACAGTTGAACAGCGAGTGAAGTGCAGGCCTTTCCACCCAAATAGGAAGCGAATCCGTCTTTCGCTTGGCAGACGGAGGATCGAGCCACCAACGCTTCTTGCGCTGAACGACCCTCGTGGATTTATCACTTAACATAAATCATTACTACATCACGCTTTATTAAATTCTTGGATGTACTGCTTCAGTAGCAGTTACAAAAAAAATCACTAGAGAGAAGCATTACATGAGAGCGTATATACTGTATTTTTATTTTTATTGCTTCTGCCATGTTCGTTGTACAAAAAGAAAATCGTTACATAAAGGTCTTTTATTTTCTCCTCTGTAATCTAGGTGTTAGTATACAGTCTGATGTATTAGTGTGTTTGTTGTATTAGTCAAATGGACTATTGTTTTGTACTACAGTTAAGTGTGTAATATATGACGATAAAAACATTAAAGACTTATTGACAGTTCACCAAAGAAAACACGTACTTAAAAGAGGAACATTACGACGACTTTTCGGTCTATCCTGGACCACTGTCAGGTCACAGCTGGGGTCCAGGAGGAACTGAAACATTGTCAGGTCACAGCTGGGGTCCAGGAGGAACTGAAACATTGTCAGGTCACAGCTGGTGTTCAGGAGGAATTGAAACATTGTCAGATCACAGCTGGTGTCCAGGAGGAACCGAAACATTGTCAGGTCACAGCTGGGGTCTAGGAGGAACTGAAGCATTGTCAGGTCACAGCTGGGGTCCAGGATGAACTGAAACATTGTCAGGTCACAGCTGGGGGTCCGGGAGGAACTGAAACATTGTCAGGACACAGCTGGGGTCCAGGAGGAACTGAAACATTGTCAGGTCACAGCTGGGGTCCATTAGGAACTGAAACATTGTCAGGTCAGAGCTGGGGTCCAGGAGTAACTGAAACATTGTCAGGTCACAGCTGAGGGTCTGGGAGGAACTGAAACAGTCAGGTCACAGCTGGGGTCCAGGAGGAACTGAAACATTGTCAGGTCACAGCTAGGGTCCAGGAGGAACTGAAACATTGTCAGGTCACAGCTGGTGTCCAGGAGGAACTGAAACATTGTCAGGTCACAGCTGGTGTCCAGGAGGAACTGAAACATTGTCAGGTCACAGCTGGGGTCCAGGAGGAACTGAAACATGGTAATAAGGCTCGTCCCTTCAGTACGGATTTTTAGAAAATTGCTCCCGTCACAGTATTGTGAGTTTTTACTCTTAATAAGAGCGATTGATCATAATTTGCAATACAATCCACCTTCCTGTAATGCTGGGTTTGTGGTGGGCAGTAGTGAGGTCAGGTTATGGATTTATCTGGAGGGGAGGCAAAATTAATTTAGAATGGAAGCAGTGGTTGGTGTACTGGTAGATGGTGTGCGTGTAACTGGAGGATAACGGGTCTAGGGTCTAAGATTATTTAGGTACAGGTACACATAAGTACAATTATCATATATAGCTTCACATATGTGCAAATTACCTAGAATATCCACCCCCCTCCCAGAAAAAAAAGTTAAGTGACTTATGTATTTGCATTGTGGTTGTGGGCAGGGAGGCAGTGTTTACCAGTGGTTGCAGGGGTCAACTTATAGCTCCTGGTCACGCTTTTTTCCTATTGATGAATATATGTATTCATCTATGTAAAAATGCCACAGTGAAAATAGGAAATAAAACCTATTCCTCTGAAGATGTGTGCAAACACATGGAAGCGCTCAGGTTGTATTTCCTATTTTCACTGTGGTATTTTTACATATTTGCAATCACGCGTTTTATTGTGATTTCTTCCATGTACTCATCTGTATGTTGTTGAAGGGGTCGATTCGTAGCTCCTGGCCCTGCCTCTCAGTTTGCAGCTTGCCAGACTCTCCTAGCCTCGTGGATCCTATTGTACCTGTTCTTAAAAACATATATAGAGGGTGTTACCTTTACCAATTTCTCATTGAAGTTATTCCATATCCTCATTATCCTGAGACTGAAGAATACTTCCTGACATCCTTGTGGCTCATTTGTGTTTTAACTTCCAGGATGAATTGCTCTGAGTATGTTGTAAGTTGTTATCATGTCTGTCTGGTTGTTTTTCTGTCCAATGTCGTTACATACAATTCCTTGCATATCTGCACTTTCTCTGGTCTCTTAATTAACATTTTTTTCATATGTGGGTTGTATGCTGGTGCTGCATACTAGTACCTAGGATGGATCTGACATACAGTATGTTGTGTAAAGGGCCCAAAATGACTCTTTGTTGAGATTCCTGAAGGCTGTTCCAAAATTTGGTGCAAGAGCATTGGCTGCAGAGGCCCTTTTTTCTTTGAGTGAAATCTGCAACCTTTTTTTTGTCCCAAGTCTATACTCCTTTTAGATTAATTTCCAGCCTTTGCCTTGTCCTCATCTACTTTTATTTCCCTCATTAGATTTAAATCATCAGCAAACAGGGATACAACTGACTTAATCTCACCTGGAATATCGTTTACATAAACCAGAAATACTACTGGTCCTAACACTGATCCTCGCGGAACGCCGCTTTTCTCTTCCTTCTCCTGACATCTCTCCCCGGACAGGCACTCTTTTGTTTAGTTTCCCTCAGTACACTTCGATCCACCGCAATACTTTGTTTCCAGTTATTCCTGCCTGCACCTCAAGTGTTTGCCCCAGTCTTGTGGAGTATACTGTATCATTCTTGCAGTCTAACATCCTTCCACTCACCTATTTGTGGTTGTGTATGTACTTACCTATATGTGGTTGCAGGGGGTTGATTCAAAGCTCCTAGCCCCACCTCTTAGCTGTGTGTACTCACCTAATTCACCTAATTGTGGTTGCAGGGGTCGAGACTCAGCTCCTGGCCCCGCCTCTTCACTGATCGCTACTGGGTCCTCTCTCTCTCTGCTTCCTGAGCTTTGTCATACCTCTTCTTAAAACTATGTATGGTTCCTGCCTCCACTACTTCACTTGCTAGGCTATTCCACTTGCTGACAACTCTATGACTGAAGAAATACTTCCTAACGTCCCTGTGACTCGTCTGAGTCTTCAGCTTCCAGTTGTGACCCCTTGTCCCTGTGTCCCCTCTCTGGAACATCCTATCTCTGTCCACCTTGTCTATTCCCCGCAGTATCTTGTATGTCATTATCATGTCTCCCCTGACCCTTCTGTCCTCCAATGTCGTCAGTCCGATTTCCCTTAACCTTTCCTCGTACGACATTCCCTTGAGCTCTGGGACTAGCCTTGTTGCAAACCTTTGTACTTTCTCTAACTTCTTGACGTGCTTGACCAGGTGTGGGTTCCAGACTGGTGCTGCATACTCCAGTATGGGCCTAACATACACAGTGTATAGTGTCTTGAACGATTCCTTATTAAGGTATCGGAACGCTATTCTCAGGTTTGCCAGGCGCCCGTATGCTGCAGCAGTTATTTGGTTGATGTGTGCCTCCGGTGATGTGCTCGGTGTTATGGTCACCCCAAGGTCTTTCTCCCTGAGTGAGGTCTGTAGTCTTTGTCCACCTAGCCTATACTCTGTCTGCGGTCTTCTTTGCCCCTCCCCAATCTTCATGACTTTGCATTTGGCTGGATTGAATTCGAGAAGCCAGTTACTGGACCACATGTCCAGCCTCTCCATGTCTCTTTGCAGTCCTGCCTCATCCTCGTCCGATTTAATTCTTCTCATCAACTTTACATCATCTGCGAACAGGGACACTTCAGAGTCTATTCCTTCCATCATGTCGTTCACATATATCAAAAATAGCACTGGTCCTAGAACTGACCCCTGTGGGACCCCGCTCGTAACAGGCGCCCACTGTGATACCTCTTCACGTACCATGACTCGTTGCTGCCTCCCTGTCAGGTATTCCCTTATCCATTGCAGTGCCCTCCCTTTTACATGCGCCTGATCCTCCAGCTTCTGCACTAATCTCTTGTGGGGAACTGTGTCAAAGGCCTTCCTGCAGTCTAGGAAAACGCAATCTACCCACCCCTCTCTCTCGTGTCTTACTTCTGTTACCTTGTCATAAAACTCCAGGAGGTTTGTGATACAGGATTTGCCTTCCATGAACCCATGCTGGTTTTCATTTATAATCTTGTTCCTTTCCAGGTGTTCGACCACTCTCCTCCTGATAATCTTCTCCATGACTTTGCACACAATACATGTCAGAGACACAGGTCTGTAGTTTAGTGCCTCGTTTCTGTTTCCTTTCTTAAATATGGGGATTACATTAGCTGTCTTCCATTTCTCAGGTAGTTGCCCAGTTTCAAGGGATGTGTTGAAGATTGTGGTTAGAGGCACGCACAGCATCTCTGCTCCTTCTCTAAGGACCCATGGGGAGATGTTGTCCGGTCCCATCGCCTTTGAGGTGTCAAGGTCACTTAAGAGCTTCTTCACCTCCTCCTCAGTTGTTCGTATGTCATCCAACACTTGTTGGTACATTCCCTCTTGATGTTCCGTTCTGTGCTGTCTTCCCACAGCCCTTCCTGTCTCTACTGTAAAAACTTCCTTATATCTCCTGTTCAGCTCCTCACATACCTCCTGATCATTTCTTGTGAGTTCTCCACCTTCTGTCCTTAATCTGATCACCTGGTCTTTGACTGTTGTCTTCCTCCTGATGTGGCTATACAACAGTTTCGGGTCAGTCTTGATTCTTGATGCTATGTCATTTTCATACTGTCGCTGGGCCTCCCTCCTTACCTGTGCATACTCATTCCTGGCTCTGCGACTGATCTCCCTATTTTCGTGTGTTCTCTGCCTTCTGTACTTTTTCCATTCTCTATTGCACTTTGTTTTTGCCTCCTTACACCGTCGGGTAAACCAGGGGCTCGTTCCGGTCTTCCCGTTGTTACTGTTGCCCTTGGGAATAAACTTTTCCACTGCCTCCTTGCATTTTGTTGTTACATATTCCATCATTTCATTTACTGGCTTTCCTGCCAGTTCTCTGTCCCACTGGACCTCCCGCAGGAAGTTCTTCAACCCTATGTAGTCCCCTCTTTTATAGTCAGGCTTTTCCCATTCAACTCCTGTTATTCTCTCCACTTGCAGCTCTACTATGTATTCAAAGCACAGAACCACGTGGTCGCTAGCTCCTAGGGGACTCTCATACTTGATGTCCTCAATGTCTGAGCTGCCCAGGGTGAACACAAGGTCCAATCTTGCTGGTTCATCCTCCCCTCTCACTCTGGTAGTGTCCTTAACATGTTGGTGCATGAGGTTTTCCAGCACCACTTCCAACCTCCTGGCTCTCCATGTTTCGGGACCCCCATGTGGCTCCAGGTTTTCCCAGTCGATCTCCCTGTGGTTGAAATCCCCCATAACCAGCAAC